GGAGTCATTTCTGTACAAGATCTCAATCTGATAACTTGAAAACTGCATGCCCCTGCTGTGGGAATCAGTGTGGGGCAAACAGGAAACAGATAACGGGCACTTAGGCTAGTTACAGTTATGCCACCAAGAGCCAGAGCCCCAGAGATCCCTGACTCTGTGGGAAGTCAGAGTTAATGCAACATGTAGATGTCTCCATTTGTGAATCTTCTACCAGGATCTCTGACTTTCATATAAGTGGCTTTCTCTTCCAAAGTTTTAATTGTAAGTTGGTTCTTTAAAACATGAAGGATATTATAGAGACAGTGTTATAAATGGTAGCTATGTCCCTAGCCTCAATTCACAGACCTTTAATTAATGCATTTACAAGGATAAAAGTAAAGAATAATCTCTGTGTATATATGTATATTTAGTCTTCCAAGAATTTTCTAATTTTTGTTGGATTCAGAAATATGAAGATGAGGACAAATGACAATTTAGAGCATGCTGGCCAAGGAAGTGATCCCTGTTCTTCTTAGTTGGATGCTCTAAACCTTGCACTGCCCCTCCCTAGGAGTCTTGGTATCCAGACTGTGGCTCTCTTTTCCTGTACACAAGGAGGGAAGGCTCCCCAAATCTGCTGTGCTTTGTAGGGCTCATCCAGACACACTGCTCCTGACACCATCATTCCTGAGAAGTCACAACCACTAGCCTCTTGGCAAAGAAGAAATAGAGGCAATGATTTTTTTAGACCAAATCTCCAAAATCTCTTAGCAGGGATTAGGGTCAGAGGTCAGACTCCCATCCAGATATGTTCCCCAAAAGAACTAGCCTTCAGATTCATAAGACTGTTCTTTTCTCGGTTGAATTTTCCATCTGAACCAATATGCAGGGTTAGGACAGGGCATGAAACTGAACATATGGCCCCTTAGTTCCCTTTTCTTCAAATAGAAACCTTCTCAGTAGGAACAGATTTTTTGTCATCTATTGTTGATTTACTGTTCCTAAAAGAAGAAATATATATTTCTATGAAGATAAACAAATGGAACTTGAAGTTAATTCAGACTTGATTCTCCCTGATCAAGTGAATTTGGCCCATGTCATCAGCAGGCTGATTTTGGCAGAAAGGATTTAAAGTCATAATTCCTGACACTTGAAAGGATTAAAACAGTAGTTGAGCACTGTCTGTGGTAAGCCCTGGCCTGGACGCTTTGAACCAGCATAACTGCTGCTGAGGAAGCAGCAATCATTGTCCCCCTTTTACAGATGAAGAAATTGTGGCTTACAGAGAACGAGTTCAAAACACCATGCTACACACAGGTGGCAAAATAGGGCTTGCACCTGGGTGGGGTGCCTCTAGTGTGCCAGTTTACAGCCACTGAAACGTGCAGCCCCACCCTCATGATTCTGTCTCTTCCAAGAGCTCACTGTTTCTTTTTCGTTTGCTTGATTTCCTCCAGACCCCAACTCTGTAGATCACTCATTAATTTGCTTATTTATATTCTGCTTTTTTCCAAAAGCATATAAGACAGTTGACAAAATGCATCCAACATAGCAAATAAAATTAGCTAAAAAGATTGGGAACCGAGGGTTAAGTTAGGACACAAAACTGTGTGTCATAAAATCCTATATACTTGAGAAGAGAGGATCTTGGCTCTGGCCCCAGATTTCCTTGCAGGAAATCAAAAGAAGGATCACAACCACAGTCACTGTGTCTATAGGGTAAAAAACGTCAGCTACTCAAGACACTTTGATGCAATTCCTAGTGAAAGTCTCTAGTGCATCCCACTGGGAAGAGGCTGAGATACAATGGCACATATTCTTACAGTATCAGCAGCCATACCCCTTTGGGAAGAAGCCTGCTGTTTGAGAATCTGCCACGGTTTGAATTAGAGCATCAAGCCAGAGCCTCAAGTCCCTCCCGTCACACATGGAGGTCCCCCTAACAAATGCATGGTAGGCCTTGACAGGCATTTGTGAGGGTTGGAACATATCCCCTCTCCCTTAGTTCAAAAAATTGAAATTGTCTACTTTTTGTTAATGCCATTTTTTTCTATTTTTTTTTTTAGGCAAGAAATCTCAGAAATGGTAAGTCTTATCAACGAGAAGTTTCCATATCTGTACTCTTCTTCTCTTCAAATACTTCCTGTTATAGACAGTCACACTGACCCCATACTAGTTATTTAAATGGAGGGGGTTTCTCACTTAAAAAATTTCCAGATACAGTGCCAAATCATAGCCTCCCTTGAAATCTGTTTTTTTTTTTTTTTTTGGTACTAGTGCAGCAGAATGAATAAATGTATAAGTAATATTTTTTTAGGAAGGGTGTTTTCATGATCATTCCTGAAATTTCTTTAAGGGTTAGAAGCATCATGTTGTGTTTTTTCTTGTCCTATCTGAACACATATGGAGAATACATAAAATCTCTGAGAAACACGCCATTCCATAAATACTTTTTGAGCAACTAATATACCCCAGACCTTAGGAAGAACATACATCCCCAGACCCCAGGGCCTCAAATGTCTAACACAAAAGGGTAGAAAATTGCGACTCTAATAAGCACTGATCTTCAGAAATGTAGAAAAAAAATTGGGATCATGAATTCTAAACATAGTTTTTCCAAAGAAACAATCTATATATTTTTTTTAGTTTGGTCTTAAATCTTAAATCTTCAAATTGGAGAAACCACAGTGAGGTGAGGCTGGGTTCATGAGGTGACAAGAGGTAGGATCAACCGAATGTGGTACGTAATTGCCAGAGAGACACAGAGAGAGAAAAGAGTCAAAGAGGCTGCCTGAGTCTGACCTGGGAACTACTGAGGGTGGTGTTTACCGCTGAGCCATGAACATAAGAGAAGGAGCAATTTGGGACGTGAAGATCTCAAGCTCAGGTTTGTACATGCTGASCTTCAGGCGTCTGAGGGTCACCCACAGAGTGTTGGGTCTCTCCAGCACAAAGGGCAGGAGATATGGATTTGGGGGTTCTCTCATTTCAGGAGGTGACGGCCATCACAGGAGGGTGCACAGGAACCCAGGGACAGTGGGAGCGTGGGAAAGGAAAAGGACCTGGGAGAGGGTGGCAGGCAGAGGAGCATCAGCATCTAAGTCAGCTAAGGAAGGAGGAGAAGGAGACGGGCCCAAGCAAGGGGAGGGAGACTCGGGGCCACAAATCTAGGGAAGAAGGAAGTGGAAATAGTCTCCATGTGGCTGGGAGAACAGCAAGGTTCCAGGGGCTATAACATGGCATCCCTGGGAGAGCGTTCCCAGTGCAGACACAAGATGAAGTCAGAGGGCAAAGGGCTGAGGAGTCATTGGGATGAGGAGGGGAGGTGGAGCATGTGTTTATGTCTCTAAAGTCGGGCTCTGAAGGAGGGTTGTGGAGCTAACTGGACAGGAACATAGGCCAATGGAGAGTCTTCTCTCCTGCTTGATGACTCTATCTTGTCTTCAACTGTGTAGAAGGCATCTTGATAAGAAAGGGGTCTCTTTTGGGGGCTGGCCTCCCTATCCCTGTGGCAGGAAACCCGCAAGATGTAAAGATTTCTTTCATGCTCCCACCACTGAGTGAAAGTTTTTTTCTGGTGCAGTCTACCCAGAGCTTTTTTCTGGCCACAGGAACCACCTGTTTTAATTGCCACTGGGTGGAGCTAATCAATTCTAATTTTTTTTTTTTTTTTAATGTCCGTGAGGGACAAAAAGAGTTGCTGGATGGCAGAGTATTAACATTAAGTTAATTATCAAGTTAAGCAAATTGCCATATTAGGTTTAAGGGTTCGATTATGTTTACAGTGATTCAATTAAAAGTTGTTTACTGAACACTTCATGTTGGAATAGTGCTAAGCTTGACTGAGCAACCAAGAGGAGTAATCCCTTGTCCCTAATCTCAGGGAGATTATTATTATCTAGTTGGGCAGTCAAGACAGAAATATAGAAAAATTAGAAGAATACAAAGCATAGTATAGTAATGACTACTGAATTTTGTATCTTAAAAATGAAAGACCAGTGGGCTTGGTGATCACACAAAAAATGTGTGTAGAAGGTGGAGCCTGGGTGCTTCCTGATGGACGGATAGGCTTGGAGTGACTTGTGAAGACATTAAGGAGGGAAATGACATAAACAATGACATGGTGATGTAAGCATGAGATCATGCTCAGGGCTAGTGAGTGGAGCTGGCTGGAGCCTGTGTATTATTGAGGAGCTATGGAGGAGGGGCTGGGAGCAAAGAATGGCTCCCTGTGTTGAGTGCTTCCCCAGATATTCTAGAACAACCTCACAACTGCACAGCTGCCTTAGGACACCTTTCATTGTTCACCACAGTGACCTTAATTCATAGAATCACTGAATTTCAAATATGTAAAGAATGTTGGTAAGTATAATGTCCAAACTATTCATCACTGAGCTTATAATTAAATAACACTCCTATAGGCCTTGAGCTAGCGACAGAGTTAAACTTTTATCAAATATTAATTCTATGTTGCTGATAGAATTACATACAAAATGAATGAATACTTCCTATAAGCCTTTGGAAAAGGTACTATTAATACCCCCTGACACTAAAGAGACAGGCACAGGGAGCTATAATAGCTAGCCTGAGGTCACTAGGCTAAATGGCAGAACAGAGCCTGGTCTGCACCTGGGTCCAGAGGGCATGTTCTTGTGCTTCTAGAACTCGGGACTCTGGATTCCCAGGTTAAAGTTGTCAATCAAGTGGTAAGATGCCCTCCTCTTCCAGGAATGTGACATTTTTTTCACACTAAACCATTGTGTGATGGCACTGAGGAAGGGTGGGTGAAAAAGATAGGACATGTTTCCAGAACAAACCTAAAGTAAAATGAAGTGATCACACTATACACTGTGTGTCATTTTTTAAGTCTTGAGCTGACTCTCATAGTTCTTGGTGCACATTCCTGTTACCTTTTGGGTGGTGAATGAAGTACTCTCTGGGCATTTGTGGTTTCGATTCATGCTGGTTATTTTGGCTCTTCTGCAAACTGGTTCTGTTTGCCACCTCATTTGGTTTCTAGTGTCTAAATTCTACCTGAGTGAAAGCTACACCCAAGATACACAGGAAGATATGATGCCAACCTCAGAGGAGGGCACATGTGGGCCCATGTTTTCAGAAACATTTTTATCTCTTTTGGTGAGCACGTTTGCAGCTGCTGAACTGTGGTTTACCCTGACAGTTCATCATGAGACCAGAGCCTCAGAATATAGTTCTCCTTTGAAAGGTGCTAAGATGTACCAAATTTGGTTTCACCCATCCTTTCCAAGAATGAGAGTTGTATCACAACAAAAATGTGGCATTTATTTCAGAAAACAAAATTGGTCAACATCTCTGTAAGGCTTATCCCACCATAATCAGGCATTTAGAGTTACCTCCATTCCCTTCCTGAGCTTTGATCTTCTCTGATTTAAATTCCCATTTGAGCATTTTGCTTTTTATCTTTCACTTCCCTGGCTTTCAATTAGCTCCAAACTCGGTGGATCTAGAGACAAGGGTTGAACCATAGGCCTTTGTCCAGGTGTGGTCGGTGAACCAGCAGCATGAGCATCACTAGGGAGCTTCTTAGAGATGCAGAACCTCAGGCCCCACCCACCTACCGATCAGAGTTGATATTTTAACCTGAAAGTGAGAACTGCTGTTCTAGGACTCTTCCTGTTTGCCTTAAAATGGTCCACATCTTGCCTAAAATTTCCAGCTGAAATAAGTTCCTTTTTCCTCTTCTTACCACTAATGAGTATTGACTTTTGCTACTAACAGTTTAATTTTTGCAATTTTATACTCTTGTGCTTTTTTTCCAGCATGGATGACCCATACTAATTGACCCTCTGTGAAAGAAAACTCTTGAGGCACTGAAGACTCCTTGGTCCTTCCTCAAAGAGGCCTGCATGGTGGCATTCACTGTGTCCAGGATGCAGTGTTTTTCTTCAGTGCACCTGAAAAGGATTTCCACGTGTCAACAGCTCCATCTGCTCACATTTAGTCCCTTATTCATCCCTTGGCTCCTATCCCCCATAGGTGTTTATATGGCTCAGTATTTTAATATCTTCTCTTTGGGGAAACGAATAAGAAAATAGGTAAAGAACTATTATGGAATATTAAGACATCTGAGATTGTTCTTTGCTAACTCTTGTTTCAACTAAATGCTGTACCTAATGACAAATACAGCAAAAATTTTCTACATATGCAACTACGGCATAAGTTTTCTTGCAGGTCAAACTTTGTCTCCTCTGTCCTCCATGTATCTGTGGGAGGACACTCCTAAGGCAAATTCATACAACTGATGTTTGATGCTTTCCAACTGCAGTAAATCAAAGGGGCTCTGCTCAAGGGGCTCTCCACTGCTCTGTGGCTCACCTGTGTAAGGGAGGCCATCCTGTCCAGCCACCTGCAGCCTGCCCGCCTCCTCGGCCATCTCCTTTCTCAGCTGGCCAACTTCCACACGCAGCATCTCAGCACCAGACAAAGGAGGGGGCACGGTGATGGCCACAGCTGTTTGGAAGTTGTGGGTGCCTCTGTCTCTTCCTGTGAGACCCATGCACACGTCTGAGTCCCTGCTTCTCTCTGAGCTCCATTGTTAACACACAAGAAGCTTCTCTGAAATGCTGGCTGCAGGTGGCATCTCCTCAGCTCTGCAGGAGAGGGACTCCCTGACTCCTGCTGAATGCCCCTTCCCCTGCCCCAGGTCTCCTACCACCTCCCGCTTCAGCCCTTAGACTCCTGGCAGCACCCGCCCTCGCCCTCCTTCTTCACTAGCTCTCACCTTGGCCAGCCAGAGGCAGTCTCCCCTCCCTGGCRTCCCTCTACAAGGTCAGTCTGTACCTGGCAATTTTGGACTTAAGTATAATCTRAATTTCTAACCCAGTCTGTTTTTTAAATTGTAATATGTTCTGATTTCTTTCCAATAAAATTGGATGCTCCTTAAAGGCAGAGATYATGCCAGATCTCCAGAAAGTCCAGTTGGTTGCTTGACCCTCAGTAGATGTGTGTCCAAAGAGAGAGCATCAGARAGTGCGCCCTTAGGGCAAGTTGCAGCCAACCTCTCTCCATGGCAAGTGATGAGACTTCACCTGATCAGGGCTGGATTCTCAGGAAAGAACAGGCCCCATCAGAACCTAGTCAGAAATACCTCCTTGCCCCATGGCCAGACCAGCCTTCCTACGACTTTGTGCTTCTTAAGAGAAGCAGCTTTGGGTAAGGCTTGCACTTTCCCTTCCAGAGTCATTTCAGGTTCTGCATTACAGCAAAGGCTAGTGCCAGAGGCTCTCCATCTTGCATAGCTGCAAGGATGTGTCATCCACATTCAGGTGGCTCCCGGGGCACCCTGAAGTTGTGCAGTGCACGACCTGCACAGACTCACTGCCTGCGCTGGCAGCCCTCACTCTGAGTGCTGTTCACTGGGACATCAGGGCCAAGGACCCCAGTGGAGACTGCTTTGGGGAGTAAGATGTGTGTGGTTTAGAAAGTTATCCTCAGACGTCCATGTTTCCCCCAGTTCCTGCTCTCTGACAGCTGACGTGCCTCTTGGCTGCCTCTCTTCTCCCTCTTGACTTGGCCAWTGTCCACAAGTGCCATGGAACAGACAGGAAGAAAATCTGCCATCACCAAGCAGCCACAACCCATGGAGGGACAGGGAAACAGGAGTGGTCGCGAAACTCCACCACCTTTGTCCCGTGGTCCTGCTAATCCCGTGGGCTCCCAACATCTCCTGATGCACCCAGCCTCCCTGGGGGCCCTGAACAGAGTGTGGCTGGACTGGGCTTCCTCTGCATCTGGGCACGAAGCTTGTCCTAGTGCAGTTCTGCTAGTGGTGTGTCCAGTGCTGATGGATTAGCAGTAGTCGTCACCAAGGTGATGATAACAGTGTGGTCATTAAAATATGATTCTCTGAAACTGGTCTTAGTCGGCCTCCAAAGGCTTCAGGAGAAAGCTGCCTTTTCCTGAGAAGCCTTCAAGGGAGAGGTGAGAGCCCACAGTGTGGGAGGAACTAAGGAGTACAAGTGTGGAAGTGAGGTGTCTGTGTAAGAAAACTTAGCTTCTCTGAGGTCATGAGAAGGAAAGAAGAGAGAAAGTAATGGAGGTAAAAAGAAAAGAAGTTGAAAAGTCGTGAGAAATTATAGAACATGTGGGGCAATCTGCGCCTAGGAATAAAATTGAGAGTATGGGGTGTGATTCTGAGCACAGTATTAACCTTCTGGGAACCTTCTACACATGCAGGGGCTGGCAGTCAGGTGGCCAGCCCCTTTGGAAACTAGGTATGAAGAAAGAGCCACAAAAGTCAACATGGGGACAAAATATCTTGACTAAGAAAATATTTACATGAAAATCAACATGAAGGTAAGTATGAAAATTCTCTGGGAATTTCAACAACTCTTAGGGTTTGGGGCTTCCACAATTWGTAGTATTTAAACCCAGTGTATCTGGACTTTAGGGTGTGCAGAAGTTCTTCATGACCTCTGGGTTACAGTCCCCAGAAGCAGACAAACCCTGGCTRTGATGTTATAATCCCCAGCCAATAAGGAACTGCTCTAAGTCCATATCCCTAGGAGGCGCCTGTGTGGTGAGCAAGTGTTGAAGGAGTAAGCAGAGGTGGCATGAAAGACCTGTGTGTGCAATGCTAAGGGAAAAGAAAATTAAAAGTGACTCCAAATCTATTTAACTTTAACACTTTTGCCAAAGTGGGTAGTTAAAAAAAATTTGTGGCCTCTTCCAACTTAAAACAAGGTAGTCCCAGAAACCATTTGGAAAGAACAGGTTGTGTCTCTTCATCTCAGCTTCTCATTACTGGCCCCTTTATCAGGAGGACAACAGGTGATCAAAGTAGTTGTTGAGTGACAAATAACATGAGCAATTTCAGTCAGAAGAGATACTTAAGGTGTGGGATGAACTAAAACTCTAAAACACAAGAACAAACAACCAAAAACCCTTTACTATTGCAAAAAAAAAAAAGTGTTGTCGGAGCTGGTGCAGACATGGGGCAGAGCTCCCGCCCTCGGAGGCAGCATCCTGGGGGAGGAAAGTAAGGCCAGGTGGAGCGCACAGGCACAGGACCACTAGGTAAAAGGCAGCAAGATCCAGAGTCAAGATGGGACCCTAGAGGAAGTAGAAACCAGGAGAGTGGAGCACCTGAGCCAAAGTCTCTGAGGTCACAGACAGATGGTAGGGGTGATTAGAGCACAGCAATGAAAGTGATGTGCACTAGCTTTGAATTCTAGCCCAATGCTTGTGGAGTTCATGCCAAGGTTTCTGGGAAAACTTGGGCGAAAGAGGGACAGGATTGTGACAATATTCTGGGAAGATTAACATGTCTGAGCATCTAGGATGAGAGAAGTGGAAGCAGGAGGGACTGATCAGTAAATGTAATTATCCAGCATGACAATGAGGATGGGCCAGGGAGGTTCCACTGTGAAACATGGTGACGCCTTTGTTCTCTCACCAGTCGGGTGGGGTGAGGGCACAGGGAGGGAGATTAAAGCATTCAGAAAGGAAGAACAAAACAAAGATTCTGGTTAAATATGGCTTATGCAAATGTTCCTTTTACAAAGATCTTCTAGGAAAGTCCCCCTTTGTTATTTTTCCTCTCCACGAACTTTTCTCCTTTATTCTTAATATAGGATCAAGTCAAGGATATGGTCAAAATGCCCATGAACAAACCAAGATAAGTTAGGTGACTAGGAATGGGAAAAGCCCCATGTCTATATGCTCTTACAAATGTGGGCTTTAATCTATTCTGACCCCTCAAAACAAAACAAACTGAGTTTAGTTTCATCAGTGCTACTTTGATAGAAACCTCAAGGCAGACTGGGCAGCCCTGGGTCTTTGCTGAGAGCCTAATGCCTGTCCACTGGGCTCACTTTCCACTGTGTGGTTGTGTTGGCCATGAAGCCAGACAGGCACTCAGGGCAAGCTCCTATATTAATGCATGTTCAGGCATGCTTTCTTTTGTTGGAGACACTTAAGAACTACTCTTGCTCTCCAGGGTCACTGAGCCACTCTAACTTTTTCTATTAGGCTCTTGGACTAAACTTGCCTCTTTATAATATTGAATTGAGTATGACTAGAATATTCATATGAGCCATCGTGAATATGAGTTCATCATGTGCCCTTTGGTCTTCAGCTGAGAATGACCAGAAATGTAACCAACATCTTCTCTTCTTGAACTATGATTTGAGCTAACCATGCTCAGGAATGTCCCTGCCCCTAAAGTGAGTCTCTACAGGCTCCCAGAATGGGACCCCCAGTACTTCTGTTCTCCAGGGAGGGCACTGCTTTGCTGAGAGTCCAATGTCTTCCTACTCATGGGGGTAGTAAGTCCTTCTCCATGCTTTTGCCTTCTGCTCATGCGCTTTGGCTTTGTACTCACAAGGAGCAAATCTATAACCTTTGGATACAACTGGTTTTACGTGGATTTAGAGGAAATAGGCAGAGTGCATGGCAGATGATGTACATGACCTGCACAGTTTTGCTTATTACTTCCAAAGCTTTATGGGAACATTGTAGAGAAATCAGTTGTTTCCTTCTACAGCTCATACCCACAGCGATGGTCTCCTAGCTTATCTACCCTGAGAAATACTTACTAAAGTTGAAAAATGTCATTATCCAGTTACTGAGAAAAGTCGAGGAACTAGGTGTGTGGCTGTGCTGTTTGACCTCCATGTTCACTCTTCTACCCTTTGTATAGCACAGATCTTGTGGCAGGTGGCCTTCGGGAGCCAGGAAGACTCCACAGCAGAGCAGAGCAAAGTGTGCATGTCTGAGTGCTGCTTCTGACCATACTGCCTTCATAGGCTAATTGTTTCCAGAGATTTAGTCTTGCTTAGAGCAATAATAAACAAATGTTTATGCTTAAAATAATATTTCTTGTCATGAGAAAACTTAAGGGTTC